TTCACACCCTGTTGTAGAGTCTATAAGTCTGTCAATGAGAGGAAGAGGAAAGCTATCATTCGGGCATCATTTGTTTAGGTCAGTGTAGTCGACACACATTCTCCACAAGACCTTTTGGAGCATGAGACTTTCTTTGGTCTGACTTTTTTTAACAATGACCACATTTACTACCAATGTTGGGTAATTGACTTCGCAGACGAAGCCTATGCCTTTGAGTTTTTCAACTTCTACCTTCATTGCCTTGTACCGTTCAGTGTCATAAGATCTTCGCTTTTGTCTCATTGCTTGGTCTTGGGGTCAATGCTTAAGCGATGACAAATGATATTGGGAGAGATGTCTGGCATGTCCTTGTATGACCAGGCAAAGACCTTAGTGTTCTATTGTAAAAAAGAGATCAATGCCAACCGAATGGGTGGTGACAAAGTGGTGTCAATCTTCACCATTCGATCCGGATAATCTTTTGAGATAGAGACCTTCTCCAACTCTTCAGCAGGTTGTGCTTGCTGGGTGAAAGAGTCATCTCGAGGATCGTCAGGTTGACTGTTGCCACCGTGAAGATCCAAGTTGGCTTCGTTTGGGCTGGTCTTTATGACTTAGTCATGTATAGAAAGGGTTTCCTTGGGCACAGGCAGATGTTGTTGCTCGACCGAAGTGTTGTAACATGATCGTGCACTAAGTTGCTCTCCTCTGATGTAACCATTGCCATAGGGGGTTAGAAATTTCATCAACAACATATGTGTGGATACCGTTGGGCAATCAACCACCAGGAAGTTAGTGGTAATGGTAGCTGTGTAAGGGCATGTACCAATGGTGAAAGGTAAGTGTATGCTTCCTAAAGGTTGCACGATATCACCAGAGAAGCTTATCAGAGGAGAAATCGAGCGATCGAGTAAGTGTTCAACTACATTAAGTGCCCTGAAAGCTTCAGCAAACATGATATTGACCAAAGCCCCCGTGTCTATCAAGATTCGTCGTACTTCAAAGTTCGCTATGTGAGCTTCCACGATCAGTCGGTCATTGTGAGGGTAGATGATACCTTTTTCTTTCTCAGGGTAGAAACATATTGGATCCTAGTTAGGCTTTTGAAACTTGCCTCCCCTGATGTCTTCCACGTGAAACACTTGGTGGCCAGGCCTTAAAGCTCGTTCGCTATTTTTCATGGCCCTGTTGGAAGATTTAGATATGGGTGTGCCGCCACTTATGGAATATATCACATTCACCTGGCATTGGTTACGGTTACCCTTTTGAGGGTGAAGGAGGAATTGATCAATTTTTCCTTCACGTGCCAAAGCTTCAATATGATCACGAAGGGTGATACACTTCTCGCCGTCATGACCGTTATGCTCGTGGTAGCAGCAAAATGTGCCCGTGTTTTTAGTGGGCTTGTAATCTGGGTGCCTCGACTTTGGCTTCGGTACCAGGTGTGCTATGCTGGGGTAAATGGCCACGCATGTGGCGTTCAAAGGTGTGTATGCCTCATACCTCGAGGTAGGGCTTGTCCTGACACGTGCTTGACCCGCTGTGTTGACTGCCTGGGGTCGGGGATTATCGTGGCGATACCTTTAGTTATCGCAGTAATGTCCCTTACTCCTTTTACTAAAATGAGACTGCTGAGGATGGAAATCTTTCCTTTTGCCCTGAGATTGATATGTCTGTTGACTTGGCAAAGTATTAAGTAAGGCAGGGGGAGGCACCGCTGCCGTTTGGAAGGTTGAGGTTTTCTCATTTTGGTGGGTCTGGCTTCCACTCCCCACTTGCTGATAGGGGATGGTTGTTGGGGGTTTCTCTTGGTATGTCCTTGCCTCGACAGAGGCATGGTTATAAGCCTGCGCCATCACCTCAGAGTAAGTCTTCCAAGTGTTGGCTTTGAGGGCTTTGAGGGCAGTCTTGTCGTCTGCCTCAGCACATCGGGAATACTCATGGCTAAAACAGCCAGCATACATACGTAATGACTCGTCTGGATTCTAGCGAATAGTGTATAAGTCATCCGTAGAGTGTAAGCGATCGGTCTGGAAAATATGTTGAGAAACAAACAGTTTCCTCAATTCCTCAAATGAGTTTACCATCTCAGGTGGAAGACGGCAATACCAGTTTAGAGTTTCGCCAGAGAGGGTGGAAGGGAAAAGAAGACATCGCTCTTCGTCGGTGTGCATCTGGTATGCCATGGTGAACTCAAAGAGGTTAAGGTGTTCAATCGGGTCCTCCTTTCCAGTATAGAGTTGCAAGCCAAGCTTCTTCTTTGTCTTTGCTTGGAGGGGGTGTTGAGGATCCTCCTTGTAAGAGGGCCAGGCCTAGGTTGGTTCCAATCAGGTATCTCAGCTTGTCGTTCAGCCTTCAACTTGTTTACTTCCTTACGGAGCTGTAGGACAAAGGGGTCCTGAGTGGAGTCATGTACCACTGGAGCTTTCTTTTGTAAATCTCCATCTCCTCTTGGAAGTAGGAAGGTTTGATCAAGAGCATGTGATTTTTCCCTGGACTCGCCGTACTGACTTCCAAGGTATGTCTGTCAGAACATCTCTGAGTCCCCTATACTTTCGTGTTTCTCTACGACTTGTTGCCCTTTCCCCAAATTGGTAGCCGGCCTAGGACATGGAAGGGGACCGAGTCTTTCAGAGACCTTAGGGTCATTGATCTTTGAGCTTACATGGATGAGATTGTCTCGACGTTGCTTTAGGAAGTCTCGACAGTCGCGAAAGACGGTTTTCGATCCTTCCACTCCTTCTGTAAGGAGGTGCATTCTTCCACTCATCATGCTTCGGGTCAAAGCAGTTAGGTTAAGAGAAGTATCATGTTGGTCGCCATTTCGATGAGTAGCTCGCTCCTCAACAGGAATACCCATGTCGAGGGCAAATGACCCTCCGTGTTGTAGGGCACCCAATTGATGGTTAACTTCCACAAGGGTGTTGAGTTCGTGTGTTTTAGTATATCTAGCCTCGTGGAGCATCTCGAAGACTTTCTCATACTGCTTTTGGAGGATCTCATTCTTCATCGCTATCTTGTTGTTCTGAGCAGCCAGCTCATCGACTTTAACCTGAAGAGCAAACTTCTTTTGTTCCTTCTTTCGTTGCTTCGCACCAGGTGCAAGAGGGGTGTCATTCTGCGTGTTGTGGCTTCCTTGGCTCCCCATGTTGGAGAGGGATGCCTGGTTAAAAGAGAGTGTACGAATGGTGGAAACCAGCTTGACAAAGCTGAAGATAGTGGGAATAAGTGTCGTTCCCACAGACGGCGCCAAATGTTGATGCACAAAATCAGTGAGGACTTTGGTACAACAGAAAGTGTTAAGTTTGTGACCTTCGCTAGATTGCTCCGGTCACTAGTGTGGATAAGTATGTAAATGGATAGAGACAGGGAAGCAAACATAAGATGTACGTGGTTCACCCAGATTGGCAACGTCCACGAAGTAGAGGAGTTCTCATTAATTGTGAAGGGTTTACCAAGTACACAGGTTCAAGCTCTGCTTTTGTGAGTACTAGTGAATGATTTAGTACAAATGACATTAGGAAATATTGTGGGAGAATGATCTCCTTTTATAGAAGAGAGTTTCTAGCTTTGTTCTGATATTGACATGTGTTGTGTTGTGATTGGCTTCTGATGTTGACACGTGTCGTGCTATGATTGGCTTCTGATGTCGACATGTGTCGCGCTGTGATTGGCCTCCTGGTTGGAGGGAAACTTTTATGGGTCCTTAACGGTATAACGTTGATCGGTGCTCAGTAGTTTCGGGATTGGTCAAGTACGGTACAAACAAAGCTAATACGTTATTCAAACTCAAACCGTTAAATTAATGGGTCACCCGTTAACACCCGTTCACACAAATCTACTGTTTAAATTAATGGGTCACCCGTTCACACAAATCTACTGTTTCACTTTGACAAACAAAAATCATAAAAATAGGTGAAACAACAAGAGGGGAAAGCATCGGGCTGGATTACTCTGTTTCTCTGACCATATGACATGATGACTTAAATAAAGTAGTCATAACAAGATTAGTATGTTTTAACCAACAAAGTGGAGATTGTGTGCTGCTAAACCAAATGATCGTGAGTAAGAGTACTTTGTCTAGTTGTTAGTCTGTTACAAGATCACTGTCATTGTGGCATCCTGGTAAACATAAGTCTTTTTCCTGTTACATTTACATGATTAACATTCATCTTGACTTTACTTTTTCCTCTAAATTTTTTTTTTCACCTTCTTCCTTATGAGTGAACTTTCCTTGTAAATTTCGTTAGGATAAAAAACAGGTTCATAAGTATAAAAAATGAAGAGAGCTGTTATTCCCACTCCAATGTCTTATCTTCTCACTCACCTTTTAATAAATTTTTTAATTACAAATTTGTCAATTTGTAATATGACTAATAAGGACCTTAGTTACCCCCTTTTGCATTACTTTTTTTTAATTAAAAAGAAAAAAGAAAAGTTTGGGCGTGATAACTCTCACGCTATGTTTAGACAATTTGTCTCCCTTAAACCCTAACTCATCATTCTCATCTCCTTTCATTCTGAGAAAGCAAAAGAATGAACTTAGAAGATGATGTTTCTATGGACGAAGTAGATGATTATGTTTCCGTCGAAGAGGTAAAAGAAGAGGTAAAAGATAATTTTATGTGGGTCATCTTGATTTGTCGACATCGTATAATTGAAGCATAGCTCTGTGACTTTTTATCTCTAAGTATATATATATATATATAAAGGGTTATTTTAGGAATAATAGTGGGTGAGAAAATAACATTTTAATTTTTTAACTTTTTATGGTGGGTGTAAATATAACGTGGGTGAGAAAATAAGACAAGGAGGTGGATCTAGCAGCTCTCAAAATGAATTCAGTTACCCCAGTTCTGTTGACTTTTCAATCCTCAAGTAACCATCATGATGCTAAATAATATGAGCAAAATACAATTCTCGATCGACGTCTCTTTCTAGTACAGGTCATTAAACTGACCTCAATCAGCTTAAATATATTGCAAAACTGTGTCCTCCTCCTACTTGAATTTTGAAATTAACCCTCACCTTCTTCCTTGGATTTCTTTCGATCTCTCGAACTCTGTACCAGAAAACCTTCATGAGTAGGATGCAAGTTTCTTCGATGCGAAGGTCTGCAGTCCTACTAGCCCTCTTGCACTTTTGTGCTGTTAATCCAGCAAGAAGCTTGAATTTTAGCTATACCCCATTTCGAGACCACATTAATGATAAGGATTTTCTATTCGAAAACTCTCGTATATATTTAAACGCCGTCCAGGTAACTCCTGATGTTAGTAACGAGGCCTCCATCATGAACCAAGCTGGAAGGTTTTTGTATAAAAAACGATTCAAACTTTGGGGGAAAGGCAAAGCTTCTTTCAATTCTACCTTTGTACTTAAAATCGATCCCAAAACCAATCCAAGTGGTGAAGGCTTGGCGTTTATCTTAACTGAAAGCCCCACTCTTCCGGAGAACAGCGAGGGTGAATGGCTTGGAATTGTAAATGCAACGTCAAACGGATCTGCTAAAGCTAAAATAGTTGCAGTAGAATTCGACACAAGAAAGAGCTACGCAGAAGATGTGGATGACAACCATGTGGGGTTGGACATAAACAGCGTTTACTCGATTCAACAAGTGCCTTTGCTTGGCTATGGTGTTAATCTATCAAGCGGAACAAATTACACAGTGAGAATTGAGTATGCCAACCAGAACATCACAGTCTTTGTTTCCCAGACCAATGAAACTAGGGAAGGAATGGAGAATGCTCTAGTTTTGTTTTACACTGTAAATCTCTCTGCCTATCTTTCGCAGGAGGTCTATGTCGGATTCTCAGCTTCCACAGGCAATAAGACTCAGCTAAATTGCATCCGGTCGTGGGAGTTCAACTCTTCGCATATAGATGAAGATTCAAACCTGCTGTGGGTTTGGATTATGGTCCCAGTAGTAGTACTACTTTTGGTAACTGGAGTTTCTTGTTACTTCTTCTGGACAAGGCGAGGTGAAAAGGAGGATGTGCTTCCGAGGATTCAAGATGAGATCCAAACAACTTCCATGGCTCCAACAAAATTCAAACTGAAAGAACTTCAAAGAGCAGCAGGCAGATTCAATCCCAAGAACGAGCTCGGAAAAGGTGGCTTCGGAACCGTCTATAAGGGACTCCTGGGAGATAAAGAGATAGCAGTCAAGCGAGTCTCAAAGAATTCGCGTCAAGGCAAGCAAGAATTCATAGCAGAAGTCACCACAATCGGCAGCCTTCGTCACAAAAATCTGGTCAAACTAATTGGATGGTGCTACGAAAGCCATGAGCTTCTTATCGTTTATGAGTTCATGCCAAATGGAAGCCTAGACAGATTTGTATACAGGGACGAGAGTCTTGGCACGGAGATGGGCAAACCAACACTGAGCTGGGAAAGAAGGCGCAGCATAATATTTGGAGTTGCTCAGGCGCTAGATTATCTTCACAATGGATGCGAGAAGAGAGTGCTTCACAGAGACATCAAAGCCAGCAATATCATGTTGGACTCAGATTTCATCGCGAGGCTGGGAGACTTTGGGCTTGCGCGTACCATTCAGCAGAGTAACTTGACTCACCACTCCACTAATGAGATTGCAGGAACGCCAGGCTACATGGCTCCGGAGACATTTCTTACTGGAAGGGCCACTGTTGAGACCGATGTTTATGCATTTGGTGTTCTTATGCTAGAAGTTGTCTGTGGACGAAGGCCTGGTAATCAAAACGAACAGAACAACTACAACAACAGCATAGTGTATTGGCTGTGGGATCTTTATAGCAGAGGAAGGATCCTTGAAGCTGTTGATTCAAGAATGGATGGAGACATTGACGAGGATGATATGGCATGCGTGCTGATGCTAGGGTTATCGTGTTGCCACCCTAACCCACATGAGAGGCCATCTATGAGAACCGTCCTTACGGTTCTTACAAGGGAAGATGATCCGCCAGCTTTGCCCCAAGAACGACCTGCTTTTGTGTGGCCAGCCATGCCTCCATCATTCAAAGACGATACAGAATCTAATGTGGCTGAAGGTCAAATGAGTCCACTCACAGACCTCAGCGGAAGATGATAAATTAATATAAACAGATCAGAAATCAAGAAAAGCCTTGGTCTTCTGGAAGTGTAAATCTGTAACAGAAATAAATAGTGTGTGTATGTGTTATGCTTGTTCATTTGTATCGTATCACGCAAGTTAATTAGTCATAGAAGTTTTACTGAAGCACTTGATTTACCCAAAACCCCTCAGATTTACGCTTCGTTCTTGTATTTATATCCGCTTACGAGAAGCCAAGGGCTCCTTTCCCTGCAGGCTGCAGACAATGCTACACTAATTATAACCTTCGCATGCATGGCATATATAAGAAACTTGATCTATGCAAAAAGGGAGGAACACATATCTGAGCTCTGTTGCAAAGCACATGTAGGTTTCCGAAGGCAGCTTCGAAAACCTTCCTCATATTTTTAGAGTTACCTCTAAATTGATGCAGTACAATACAACACGATAATATGTTTCAAAGTGAATGCTCAGAAAAGAGAAGTTATCAGGGTTCAATTCGTGGCGTACTATACTATGAGAACGCAAGCACTCCACTTGATGAGAAATTAACATGTATAACCAAGAAGGCATACAAAATTTAAAAAAAAAAAAAAAAAAAGGCAAATTCTTGGTTGAAGGTTGCATAAAAGATTACGAGATTAAGACAATTTTACATGAAATAAAAAAACATCCATATACTGCAAGTGTACAAACACAAACACCAACGAAATTTTCAACCTGCCATTGAACTGCAATGAGATCGAAACTTATTAAGCTATCCCGGACACCTCATCTGTTATCAAGGATGCTAAAAGCCTAAAAGCCCGTACGTTAAACTAAAATTCATCCCAAACTGGCTACAATTTCAGTGGCATGATCGACTGATAAAACGAACGACCAGCAAGGTAGGCACCAACACTGCAGATTTAGATTAGGGAACTTTAACGAAAAGCTCCCGGTACTGTTTACTTTAACGAAAAACCACATTTTTACACTAAAAAGTCAATCCTGGTACTATTCACTTTACCTTTTATTTTGTCTTTATCGTTAAAACTCAAAGTTTTCAAATCATTTTCATTAGTTTTCCTTTTAGATTATCCTCGGGGACAAAAGTTATGTCGTTCAATTAGCATTTAAACAGTACAAGATGAACTGATAAAATACGGAATAATGAACTATGCAGAAGGTAAAAATTCAGCAAGATATTATTTGGTAGTTTTAAGAAACTGAATGTAAACTACTTGATAGTTGTAAGAAAGAAACCAAAAGTTAAAATGCATGTAAAATTTAGTTGGAGAGAACTTTTTTACCCAACACCTTGGTGCCCCTAGAAGCTGTACCAAACGCAGCCTATGTTAATATTTTTTTTTGTGAAAGTAAAGAATTGCTTAGGACGTTATCGGTAAATTACATCATTTTTATAATGAATTACATGTAAGTTTATCATTTTTATAATAAAAATTAGTAATTGATTTAGAGCTTTAATACTCACACCCTTATTAAATTCCTAATTAATTTTCAATTCAAACATTTCCAAAATATAAATAAAACTACAATAAGTTTGTATAATCTTATATGCACCAATTCAATTTTTCACTATTCCATTTTTTAAACTTATATAGGTACATTCTATTTTATTGATTTACTATCATTTGTATCATTTCTATCCACCAACAAATGTGGATAAAAATAATATTTTTGTTGTAGAAATTGGAAGAGGGAGTGGGTTGATGTGGGCCCAGTTTGAAAATTTTGTTTTATTAGTATTGTTTTATCAAGTTCAAATGACACACCCCGATCCTAGAATCAAGGCGTGCTGGCCGTCACGTGAGTGTGACGTAACCAAAAGTGCGATGCGGAAGCAAAGGATATGAGAAATACGAAGGAATATAAACTAACTACTAGCAGTAATATCCAACTAGCATGCTAGAGTGAGTTTAAGTGTGCAGTACACAATTTCAGAGCATAAAAACTAGGTGCAATCAAGTAGGACTATAATTAAATTACAACACCCGCAGGTGAGTCCTACATGCAGGAAGTCTGTCAGAACGCCGAAGAAAACTTCGTGAGCCACCAACTGCTAACTAGAACCTGGAGGGGCGTAAAAACAAAATTGAGTGGGTCAGTAAAACCAAAGTTTTCCAAAACATTTCATTTAAAACATTTCTAACCCCTCACTGTAAAACCTGTATACTTTCCCATAAAATAACATAATAGTATATAAAACCTCATACGTCACAAATCACCAATCTATCACAAATCCAGGAATATGCCATGCCATAAATGTCAATAACAAAACATGGATGCATCAAAATAACATGTGACATAATGAATCAACCGGAGACCCTGCAGTTGGTCCTGTACGGTTAATTCCATAGCTCAATATCCAACCCAGCCGGAGTCACCACGGTGACCTGTACGGCACTACTCTGCACATAAGTCGGAACTACCTGAAGTAGTCTGTACGACAAGAATGGTGTAATGATACGCTCTAGTGCTTCTCTCATCAATCATCTGCGCGCATAATCTAAGGTCACCCACTAGTCGGAACCACCTCTAGTGATCTGTACAACTAGCATGTCGGAACCCTCTCATGGTCTGTACGACATGCACCTAATTGGATCCAAGGTGAGCGTGCGGTGCGGTGAATAATATAAGCACTAACACCATGGGTGCAGGTTATGAGCTCCCAACACAATTCACATCATCAATGATTCACATGAGTAACATAAAACTCACCTAATACTCACCTGTGCGTCCACAGCACCAATTCACATATATATATGCATCAATATCAATTCATATAATTCATAATATGCATGCATGGCATTTGAAAACATACTTTCATATAAATTCAATTTCTGGGAAAATCAATAGTATATAGGTATATACTGAAAACAAAACTGCCCACTCACTGGTAAGTCGATGGGTCGTAACCCCCGTGACGTCCCTAGATGCGCTCGTCCTCAGGATAGGTGTCACTTATATGCGAAACAATTATAACAACGTTAATTAAAGCACATAACCGACAATTTGAAATAACTTCTCATACGGTGCTCAATTTGGGTATATGAATATACCACATCGACCTACTCGACGTCACGGACGTCGAGAAATTTTTAGAAGAATTTTCTGAAGCCGCACGCGCCCCCACGCGCCGGGAGGGGTACGGACCCACGCCCGTCTCCTACCTCGGCTCGCCGGACTGGTTTTTCCGGTGGCCAAAAAACTGGAGATTTTTCAATCTCCTTGTTCTCAGTCATTTATCAACCATTTTCTTCGTATTTTATATCAAAATGAAGCCCTAAGCATGTAGTTTCACGTTATACTACTTTAAGGCTCTAAAAACTACAAAATCTCACCGGAGAAATTCCAAGAAAACCGGCCAAATTTGAACCCAGTGATCCCGACGTCCAAAACCTTCAAACGAAGCACTCTGAGCTTCCTTGGGACCTCACTAGGCTCACTATAAGCTTAGAATTCGACATATTACGATTGCATGAATAGTGACATAAAATGGGGGTTCGGGTTTCACGTGATTTCGAAGGTTTGACGTCCTAAAACTAGTACCAAACGATTTAGGAGGTCGAAAGGATGACAAACCATACCTTTTTAAGCGTCGATCCATTATTTCAATGAGAATAGTGCGGTACAATTAGGGCTGGGTTCGGTTCTTATCGGTTCGGTTTTTTGCCAAAACCGAAACCAAACCGAAATTTCGGTTCGGTTCGGTTCGGCCCAAATTTTTTTCGGTTTTTTTCGGTTCGGTTTTTTCGGTTCGGTTTCGGTTTTTTTTCGGTTTTTTTTTTTTTTTTTCTCAATTCAGCAAAACTTAGTTACTTTTCCTGCAGCAGCTATTCGTACTTCAGCCTCATTATCCCGAAGAAGCCGAACGTATGCAGGCACTAGGTCCGACCTAATATATTGCAAACATCACCACACTCATCAATTAGAACCCAACTAAGTAGGTAGAGAGAGAGAGAGAGAGAGAAACAACTGATTCACAGTTACAGAATTACAATATCCTAATCCAAGTAAAACAGTATTCACGATAGGAGCCATGCTTTTCTCAAATCGAAAAGACTTTCAGATATCATGTATCATTCAGCACTTTCCAAACTAGTTGTGCTATTCTTTAAAAGCATTGAGAGGACAATACTCAATAATTCAGCACTTCCTTCACTTTCCCACAGTTTCTCTGTACTCATGCACAACAGAAAAAAAAATCCAACGAAATCCGAAATAAGCATACAAAGATCGATTAACCCTTACAATCAACTTCTTATTAAACGGTAATTCCCATTTCAATTCCTTACACTTTCCTAGCAACCAAGCATACGCTGATAAACTAACTAATCCCGCAACAATTCTAAATAAAGCATAATTCAAATCCCCTAATCACTAATCAAAAAGAACAAAACACAAATTAAAGCTAAGAACTTTCAAACAAAAATCATCAAAAACACGAAGCAGTACCCTCTTCTCCAAAACGACGGTGGACTGGGACCCATCAAGCAGCTGCTGCTGGGACTGACTCAATCCTTCCCTCATTTTCTTGAGCAAACTATCCTCCCGCTTATTCTTCTTGATCTCCACCAAGTTGTCTTCCCTCCTCCGCCGCGCTTCCTCCGCGTCGACCCACCCCCGTCTTACGATTTCTTCTGCACATCGGTCTTCGTGCCTGGCCGCAGAGTCAATACCTGGAGGACTTTGGGGCCGAGGAGGTGAGAGGACTTTCGGAGGGTATGCGGGTCGGGCAAGGACCTGGAGGAGATGGATTTGAGGTCCATGTCGGTGAGCTCCAACTCCACCGAATCCACCACAGTACGCGTGTCATCGGACAAGGCGGAGTTGATCAGGATCATCGCCTTCACTTGCAGCGTCGGAAGCAGCGCAGGAACTCCCCCCATCCATTTTTCAGCGCCTGTTTGCCGCGGCGTTTGATTTTTGGGGAGCGAGAGACTGAGGAAGCGCAGCGGATGAGAGAAAGAGATGAGAGATTTGAGAATGAAAAGAAAATGAATGACGGCTAGGGTTTGTGAACTTTATAAATTTTATAAAACATTAAGATTAGAATACCTATAAATATTATACTGGTACAATTATAGCAATACAAAGCCTACAGTCAAGTTGGTTTGAATGAAGCTATCCCCAACCTGGACGGAAGGGGTTCGAATCTCCTCTCCAGCAGGTTTTGAGTATTTATATTTTATTTTCATATTTCGGTTCGGTTCGGTCCGGTCCAGTTTTCATACCTCAAAAACCGAAACTGAACCAACTAAATTCGGTTCGGTTCGGTTCAACAGATTCGGTTCGGTTTTTTTTTCGGTTCGGTTTTTTTTGGTCTCGGTTCGGTTCGGTTGTCGGTTTTTTTCGGTTTTCGGTTTTTCCAACCCACCCCTAGGTACAATCGTCCTCCTCATTCATCTTGAAAATCTTGAGCCTGAAGTTTTGAGTGCTTATCATTTTGGCTTGAAGATCAAAATGAAAAATTCGTAAGAACCAGAAGTTCTA